TCTAGGCAATATATATTTTTATTTTATTTTATTTTATTTATTTATTGGACAACCAACAAGACATTCACTTAAATTGTTACAATAGTTGCTTGCATGTTCATATATTGAAGTGAACTCTCAATTATAGGTTGCCACGGCAAGCTTCATAAGAAAATAAGAATTAAAAAAAAAAAGAATATGGGCATGCAAATTACTTAGCAAGCTTATTTCATGCATGACAACAGCATAGTTCTACAACATTTTGTCTTGGATTCAAATCTAATTCACTAATGCTGTTGCCATGACCAAGGACAACTTTATCCACTGCAATAACAGCAAATGAACGGCCCTAAGAGACAAATACAGTAGACTTAAATTAATAGGGATGACGACTGGGTAAAAAAAAAAAACAAACAAAAATGCAATTCTATTTAGTCCGTCAGTCAAATAACAGAAAAATACTAGGCACGTACTTCCCCCTACTTCAATTTAACAAGAAATAGCCTAGATAACAGGCAGTAAAGTTGAGGAGTGGGGGCTCGCCACGTCACAGTTTGGCAGAAAACATACCACAACGTGACGTCATGCGAAATTTCAACTCCATGTATTGTCGTAATTTTATGATTACGAAAAAAGAAAAAGAAAACACTCAACCTGGCGGATAAAGAAACAAAAATTTGTCGTCATCCCTACTATACCATATCATACTACATTATACTATACGAGGGTCAAACTGAAAGTTCTTAGAACTGGCCACTTATAAACAATATAATAAAAAAATAATTCTAAAATTTGAAAATATAACTCTTTGCCAATATTACTGAGTATATATTTCATTCATTTGTCATTTGTTTTACGATTTGGCGGCAAATTGAAAATTGTCTGTGTCACGTCATCATGAATTTAACACGAGAAAATTTTCGTGCAATGATTTTTTATGACTTTCGATGTCATTTAAGTCAACAAGAAAGTTATGATAGACTACGATTGGCCTTTCACGATGAAGCCCCATCTCGTGCGACTGTTTACAACTGGTTTAATGAGTTTAAACGTGGTCGCACTAATCTCACTGATGATTTACGTGAGGGACGGCCTTCTACGGCGACGACTGAAGATAACATCTGTGTTGTGCGGCGTATGATAGAGACTGACAAAAGAGTGACCTATCAACAGATTCGGACAAGCTTAGGCATCGGTATGAGTCAAGTGCACAAAATCCTCCACGAAATTTAGCGGTCAGGAAGCTTTGCGCCCGGTGGATACCTCATAATTTGACTGAGGCTCAAAAACTCCATCGTGTGGATTGGTGTCGTAAAATGATTGAAAGATTTAACGGAGGTGACTCAAATGCCGTGTTCGACATACTAACAGGTGACGAAAGCTGGATTTACTGTTATGATCCTAAAACCAAAAGACAATCTGCTCAGTGGGTGTTTCCTTTCGAGGAGTTGCCAACTAAAGTGAAGAGAGATCGAAGTGCGGGAAAAAAAATGGTGGCCTCGTTCTTTGGAAGGATAGGTCATTTTGCAACAATTGTGTTAGAGGATCAAAAAACAGTTTCTGCAGAATGGTACACTACCAATTGTTTGCCACTTGTCTTGGAAAAAGTTCGAGAGAAACGACCTCGCAGTAGGATCCTCCTTCACCACGACAACGCCTCGTCGCACACCGCCAAGCGAACGATCGACTATTTAGCGACATCAAACGTTGAATTACTGGGTCACCCGCCGTATAGCCCCGACCTCGCGCCTTGTGATTTTTATTTATTTCCAAAAATTAAAGAAAAACTTAAAGGAAAGCGGTTTATGAATGCTGAAGAAGCGGTGGCTGCGTATCGCGATGCCATTGAAGAGACCCCTAAGGACGAGTGGGCAAAGTGCTTTTCCCAGTGGTTCCATCGCATGCAGCGGTGTATTGACGTGAATGGACAATATTTTGAAAAGATATAATAAAACTAATAACTGGCTAATGTAATCAGTTTTTGATTTTCTAAGAACTTTCAGTTTGACCCTCGTATAATATTATATTATACTATACAATACAATACATATTACATTACATTATACTATATTATAGAGGCAATAAAAGCACCCTGTTTAGAAAATATGTCAACATCATTGCTTTTAGAAATCCTATTATACAATTTCTGCATACGGTTAACTGCTGAGAAATGACCTAAATTACTTTTAAACATTTTTGTTGTAAACAAATTATATTTTGAACGACGTGGTAATTTGTAGGGGGTATTAAATCCGATTTCCTTTAAAAGTAAAGGACAGTCCAATTGACCATTAATTAGTTTGTATAAAAATTTTAGATCACTTATTTCTCTACGGTGTTCTAAGCTTTGGAGTTTGAAATAATCTAATCGTTTTTTATAAGAAATTAGTAATTTTGATTTATGACTTTGAAAAGCTAAATGCCAGAGAAATCTTTTATTAACTGATTCAATTTGTTTAATGTAGATATCGTACAATGGAAACCAAATTGGGCTACAATATTCGAGAACTGATCTGACGAAGCTATTAAATACACAAACCTTACTACGAACAGATTTAAACTCCCTACAGTTACGCAAAACAAAACCAAGCAACTTAAAACCTCTAGTTACAATATCATTTATATGAACATTAAACTTTAGTTTATTATCAATTATAACACCCAAGTCACGAATGGCATCGACTTCTCTGAGCTTTATGTTTTTTAAATGATAAGACGAGGAGTGCGACCGTTTTTTCCTAGAGATGTGCATAAAGAAGCATTTATTTGGGTTCAACTTCAGAAGATTATCATCACAATAAGAAGCAAATCGATTGAGGTCTTCCTGCAACAACTGGACATCACCATCACTAAAAATATGTTTAACCACTTTGAGATCGTCGGCGTACAGATAGCATTTAGAGTTACGAAAACAGGTTGTGACGTCGTTGATAAAGAGGTTAAAGAATAAAGGCCCCAGATGTGAGCCCTGTGGAACTCCCGATGGCGTCATATACACGCCAGACTCATATCCATTGATTACAATTTTTGATGTTCTTTTGTATAAGTATGATTTGCACCAATTTAATAGCTGTCCTGATATTCCATAACTAGAAATTTTTTCTGTTAGCTTATTTAAATTTACCACATCAAAAGCTTTACTGAAATCAGTGTATATGACGTCAGCGGAAGCCCGATTATCCACTGCATTCACAACATCGGATATAAAACTAACTAGGTTAGTTGTTGTGGAACGGGACTTGACAAACCCATGTTGTTGGGGTACTATAAATTGTTTAATATGCCAATAGATCACTGGGCATATCAAGGATTCAAAGAGTTTAGCAAAAACTGGAAGAATAGATATAGGTCTATAGTTTTCGATATCAGATTTATCACCTGACTTATGGACAGGTACAATGCGTGCCTCTTTCCAAAGTGACGGGAAAACTCCAAGGGAGAGTGACATGTTAAAGATTTTCGTAATAGGTGAAGCCAGAACATCAGCACATTTTACCACAAATAAAGATGGAATACCATCAGAGCCAGCTCCTTTTTTTACGTCGAGTTTCTTAAGGGCTCTTTTTATTTCATCAGTGGTAAATACAATTCTGCCGAGATAATTTGATGTGCAGTCTGTTGCCGCGGCATTAGCGCCCAGGTAGGAGTTAACATTAGTTGTATTAGACGTAAATACAGAAGAGAAATATTGAGCAAATAAGTTACATATCTCTGAAGCATTGGTGGTAGAATAATTTTTATAATACATTCTAGCAGGATAACCAATACTATTTTTATTTTTTTGTTTTATGAATGACCAAAATATTTTTGGATTACTTTTTATTGTCGATTCAATAGATGATAAGTATTTTTTGTAGCTTGTATTAATCATAGTTTCTGACCTCTCTTTAAGAAGATAAAAAGTTATTCGATCAAGTGGATTTCTAAATTTAGAATACAACTTCCTATATTTTAATTTTTCTCGTAAAACACGAATAATTGCCTTATTAAACCAAACCGGATAATGACCGGAAGACTTAGGTGCAGATAAAGGAACATTTTGCTTTATAGTGCTATTGATAATCTGATAAAACCTATCAACCATAGCATCCACTGAAGAACAGTCACGCAACTCCTCGTCCCAGTCAACCGAGCTTAAATGCTTAATAATATTACTGTAATCCCCCTTATAAAATTTATAAATACTATTATTATTTTGCTGCAAGCATTTGGCTGCAGTATAATGTTTTAAATTAAATTCCAAAGGAGGATGATATTTATCTGCAATAACCATTGGTGACAAGCATTGTTGGACATTGATGATAGGTACATTTGATAAGATTAAGTCCAATGTCTTATCCTGATAGTTCAATATGTTATTGTATTGACCTAAACAATTATAGGCTATAAAATTGAGTAACGAATCACTGTGATTACTGCTTTTGTCACAGGTAGCGGACAGAGGCAAATCAGGAGTGCCAGACCAACTTATACTACTTTGGTTAAAGTCACCTAATATAAGAGAGTGATGGTTTTTTTCTAAAATACGATTAGTGTTCATTAAAAAGTGATCTAAAATATGTGTTTTCAATGGAGACGGTAAGTATACTCCACAGATTAAAAGTTGTTCAATTTTATTATTCAATTTGATATCAACTCCCACCCAAACATCTTCGCAGGTACTCTCCAATTTATGTAATCTATAAGAAATTAAACGCTTGGAAACTGCAATTAAAACTCCGCCTCCTGACTTACCACCATGAAAGCCACTCGTTTCCCTGTCTCGTCTATACACAAAATACCGGTCGTCACATAATTCAAAGTCCTTTATACTATCATTAAGCCACGTTTCACACAAAACAACAATGTCGTAGCTACTAGTTACAATATTATTATATAATTCGTTAGTCTTGGTTCTGAATCCTCTGACATTCTGAAAGTAGATTGTAAGATAATCTTGATTATCGAATTTAAATTAGAATGAGTATAAACACCTATCTAAAAATGTAAAGGTTGTTCTTTTAAATAAACTATTAAAGAATTCAAACCAATTTTTTCAGTGACTCCATGTTACGAATATAAATTGCTTCAGTAGATTCCGATTTACGTACATATATTCGTCCACCTCTCACCCATACAAATTTATAGTTTAATTCTTTTGTGCGGAGTCGGGCCGCCGCGTGTAATTGTTTATTCTCAGGTGAAAGATTTTCGACAACATATATTGGAGTTTTCTTATCGTCAATTCCCAGATCACTGCTAGTTAGTTTTTCCTGTTTGTGTTCCTTATTATATTGCAGTACAGCAGCTAATAGACAATCCCTTATACGGGGGGTAGTAAATTTTAACAATATGGAGCGTGGGCGTGTACTACTATTATCTTTTTTAGCAACCCGTGAACAAAAAGCAATATCTTTCTCATTCACAGGGTACTTAACTACGTTACCCAATTGTTTTAAAGAAAACAATTGTTTTAAATAAATAGAAAGCACATTTTCTGACCGATGTTCAGGGACACATTGTATCTCAAGGTTCGTAGCTCTTGACATCTGATCAAGGTTAGATATGCGATTATTGAGGCTGTTAACTTCCGAGCGCAGACGTACATTCTCCGATTTTAATATTTCATTATCCTTCATACAGGTCAATACGTCGCCTCTGAAGCTGTCGAATTGGCCACTCAAAAAATTTTGCGATTCCTGAAAAGTGCTTAATTGTTCTTGAAGGTCACTCAGTCTAGAATTGATGGAATAGTTCAGTTCTCCAATACTATCATGTATAGCGCTTCGTATCTCGGCGCGAATTATATCACCAATCTCCGAACGAGAAACATAATCTGAGGTTTTGTTTGATGGTATCACAGTATCCTGCTTTGCCTGCACCTTGGGCCTCGTGCGCGAGTTGAACGTAATATCAGCAAGTCCTGTGGGGGTTGAGGGCCGCGCCGGCAAGTTGGTATTATCACTTTTTGGTTGCTTACTAAGGCAACCGGGGCACAACCAGTTTGTTTTATTTTTCTCAGCTATTCTAAAATCATCTTTAGAAGATATATTGAGGCATGAGTAGTCATAGCTATCATTGCATTTAATACATGTGTGATAATCATTGTCGTTTATTATCGAGCAGCAACCTGCGCAATTCATAGTTTCCTGGCTATTAAACGATGTAGGCTTATTATAATATTCGTAGCTCTGTAGCAATTACGCACGTGGCGAATCGTAGCGCCCGCTACGACACACGCCTGCGATGCGCGAATGGGAAAGTATTAGTTTTATTATCCCTGTCTCACAGTCACTTCACGGTCTGGTGCACTCACAACGCGTAAACAATATAAAAACAGTGGAATATTACTGGTTACGCTCAAGCAACAACGTACTCTGCTGCAGTTACAAAATAGGATCACTTTATAATGCACTTAAATTCAGCGATGAAGAGAAACAGCGTGCGCACGTCTGCTCGCTACAAGGTATCGGACGAAGTGTCTATTTCATTAATTACGTTGCGACTGTGAAATTTTCTTATAAAATTAAATTTATCAATTATATATAATTAAATATTATATAGATTTTTGCATACAAACTTAATTACATTAATACTATAGATCCTAAAATTATACAGGCAGACTTCTTAGTACAGTATTACAAATCCAAATTTATCAGTTTTTAGGTTCTTTAAAGAGGATACGCAATTACATAACTATACGAACTACATTATTATACGATAGGTACTAGCTTTTGCCCGCGACTTCGTCCGCGTGGTATAGTTACTTTAGGCAATATATATTTTTCAAAAAAGCTGTTTTGTTCGTGTTGATGATGAAATTTCCTTGATGTTTAAGTTCGAAGATACTACAACAAAAAAAACAACAAATATCTAATATGTTTTAGCACTTTATCTTTGAAAACTTTATAGATGTAAATCCAATCCAATCCAATTTAAAATAGGTAGGGTCAGGTGGGGTACAGTGTTACAAAAAAAATAAATTATAATATAGTGACGAAAATATTATTTTAATCAGTCTGTTTTTTGCATACAACTAAACTTTAATAATCCCATTTTAATTAAAATAACTCAAACAGTAACATCAGTAGGAACTACTTAATTAAAATTGCACTTGAAAAAAATCTGTCGATTGTAATACATAGCCCCGTATCTGGGGTACTATGTTACAAGGTAAGGGGCACAATGTTACAACATATAAATAATAGAAAAAGTAACAATACCGGGACAAGACAAGACGGGTTGTCTTTTGTAGACGCTGTTACTTTCACGAAATGTTGCAAGACTTCAGGAAACAATTCGCTATTCGTCCATCCGGTGGGTTGAGCTAGCCCTAGGGTACCTACTGGTGCACCGTTAATCATGAAAGACTTATATTGCTTTCTGGGAAACACCATTGCTAGAGGTAGTGCTGATCCCATTGCAGCCACTGCACAACACGTTGTAACGAGTGTACCCCTCTCGGCGCTCGTTACTTTATTTAGCTGTCTAAAGCTGTTGGGTTTCTGGACAGCAGTGGTGCCAGTTTTATCTAGACAATATACTCTACTGCCATCTGCAAAACTAGGACATCGCCGCATAACATCTTCCAAATAATTAAAAAAAAAAACATTCACATTGTGACGATTTAATGATGTTGCCCGTGTTAAGCTGCAAGCTTCTGGCTTTCTCAAAGTTAAATCACTAAGTTGTTTTCTAAACCCATATAACCAGTCAATTCCTGCCATTTTTTTTGTCTTCCCAGTTTTTTGGAATATTCAACTTATAGTAAACAGCCATCTCATAAGCAAACTTTCTACACCCGACCGTATCTAGACCATAGCACATCCTGGAACAGTTAATTAAATACTCCTGCAACGCGTTTTCTTGATCTACACTGAATACGGCTTTATTGGCATAATTTGGAGTAAGTCGTAAGCTTTTTGCGCTGGACATTTTTTCTTCTTTTGGACATATCTTTGCAATGTCATAAAATTAACATGCATTTCATTTGCTGCTTTTCGATGACTAATACCACTTTCAACCATCTGAATCGCTTCTGCCATATTTTCTTCACTATGAAGACCGTAATCCGTCTTCTTCTTACGATTTCGGACCATTTGCTTTTAATATCTTACCTTGAAAAACAAAAAATAATGTAAATTGGGGCTGACTGTTACAGTGTCACACTGTGCCCCGTAACACTGTACCCCAGAGGGAGAAGTCAAATAAAAAAATCGAATGAATATTTCAGGTTAAGTTTACAACAAACTTTGGTAATTTATAGCTAAATATACATGAAATAAAGGAAAACTAACATGACTTACCTAAATACAATACGCCCGGAATTAAATGAAAAACTTTGAAATTATTTTTTCAGTGTTTAGTCACATGAAAACTTTTTTTGTTTAATATTCTTTAAGAGCGGTACAATCTGCGGCGATGACATTTGTTTAAAGATGGCTGCTTGTGAGCTTCGCAAACGTGTATACCAACATCATAAAAATAAAAGATAGGAACGGAGATATATCCATTGTAACATTGTACCCCGTGTAACACTGTGCCCCCCCTGACCCTACAGTCCTGAAGTTTGGACAAAACTTAATCGAAAAGAAAACGTACATACGCAAAAAATTTAGAAATTTAACTATTTGCTGAAATAGCTTATTGTTTAGATATGTATACCTATATGATCACTTACTCTTGGCTACATCATGAAGAAGTCATACTATAAGCCGCCCGTATCGTTAAACGCAAATCATTCACCAATCTGGCCAGGCCACATCATGATGTGGCCAGCAAGATTTTTCCATTTCATTAAATACAAACTACGAACGTCAATTCTACAATCTTTCCACGACATACATAATAACTTGGAAACCTATACTAGGGTGCTTACATAATAAGAATGAACAAACGTAATAAAATAGGATTTGTGAAATTTATCAACTTGAAAATCTTATGTAAGACCTAGCAATGCTTATCCTCAATAAATTCATTATTGATGAAATGGAAAACACAAATAATTGCAAATTCTTTGCGCCGATCACACTACCCAATCTATCGGGCCCGATATATCGGCCGCGATTTAGGGCGGTTGGTGTCGTTGTGATTACACTGCACTAGATCGCCTCCCTAACTCGATTGGCATGCAAACTTGGCGTTGCCATAAATTGGCAAAAAAATTGGCATAGCCCATACTTTAACTGCGGGCGTAAATAATAAAACAAAATGTTGGGTGAAAAATATTTGCTTCTAAGAGACCAACTATGCAGTTTAAACTACTACAGAATGAGTTCTGCACAATTTGATCATATATTAAACTTAGTCATACCTTATATAGCGCAAAACAGCGGTTAGCTGTGCTGTAACTTTAAAAATTTTAGCAACGGGAAATACATATCATTACTAAAAGTATAAATACTCAATAAGTTTATTGTTTCCATAGGTAATTTAAAATAATATTACATAATTAAGTTAGTCTCACTATGGACCCTATCGGGCACAACAATAATATAAAGTTTATTATAGCATTAGTATTTATAATTGTAATTTATATAAAATTTATAATACATAATTATAAATTTTCAATTTCGCTAAAATCATTGATACCAGAACCCCTGCTATCAAAAATTGTACCAGACACATGCAAAGGCTATCTAGAAATGTTTAAAACATTATATCATAGAAATGTTTAAAACATTATATCAAGAAAAAGTAATAATATTAAATTGCATTTAATATTATTTCTTTTCCCTTTGAGAGGACATATTTCTCTGTTAAATTTCGTGTTCACTGACGTCTCACACGCACGCTGCGCAACAACCGACTGAGCGCTCTAACACCCTAACAGCGATCACGTTACCCGATAAATCGGCCCTAACTCTCATCGGGCGATCGGGCGCCCACGTTCACCCGATATCGGGACCCTAAGGGCGCTTGTGCACTACACTGAATTTTCAGGTCCGGCGGTCCGATTTTTTCCGGTCCGGAATGACATGAAAAACTCGGATGAGTAGCTTGTGCACTTGTCCGTTTTTTCCTGATCGGAGCGGCGCAGTGTAGGGCAGCTCTCTGTGAAGCTACACGTCACTTATGCTAGGTAGGTACGATGAGATTTCTGGAAAGTCGGTAATTCCGTTCGAAGACGTAGAAAGGTACCTAAAAATGGTCTGATCGTTTTACATAAACCATAATAAATTATGGCAAGACGAAAGCATTTTTTTTACTACTATCGGATGACTACTATCAGATGTAAAAACTTATTAAAGTGTTTACTAATTTAGGAACAGCATTATTCACATACAATAATGGTCTAGTACTTAATGTTAAAATTTTTAAACGTGCTTTTTTTTCGAAGTTTTGTAAAAACAACTTTCAGCGATTACAGAGATAGACCAATCGGTATTTCGTAAACAAATCGAAATTAGTGCCGTGTTAGCGAAAAATTATTGTGAACTTTACCATCACGATTATAAATGAACTTTACGAGATCAGTTGACTATATATAATAATATATAGGCATAATTTGATACGCGTGATGTAGTTTCTTTGAGCAGAAATATTATTCCCTTAGAATACTTCTTTTTCTTCAAATTTATTAATGACACACATTTAAAATTTTATTAAATACAAAAAGGCATTGAGTGTCACTTAATTACTTTTGTTAGTCTTCTGTTTATTCTTTATTATTACTCCTGTTGTCAAATATTTATATATATTCTATACTTATCAATTGTCTAAAAAAATTTGATAATGACAAATTTCCAGGCAAACTTTCATCCCCTATTTTTCGCGATAAAATGTAGCCTATGTCTTTTCTTAAAGTTCAGTCTATTTACTATATTCATTTCCATTTAGATGGGTTCAGTTGTTTAGGCGTCTAAGCGTAACAACACTTATTTATCTTACCTTAAGTTATCGAAACTTTTAATACGATTCTAAAATCTAGCTAAGTATCGATACTAGAACCATACGCTGATCAAAATAGAACTATACCGAGTTTGCCAAAGCATATGCAGTGATATATACCAACTATATTAAATCATCATATAAAATATAGCATTTTAAAATCAACAATAAATATCGATTATAGGTTTATTGGAAATTGACAATATTGCCGAAATAAATATCGATTCAAATCGATTATTTTTTCCCAAGCCTA